CCGCCTCTGAACAGCTCCCCTCTCCCCTCTCTCCCCACAAAGCACGACAGCTGCCCCGTCTGCCGAAAGAGCCTCACAGGACAGAACACGGCCACCGACCCCCCGGGCCTGGCGGCCGTGAGCTTCTCCTCCTCCTCGTCGTCCTCCTCCAGCTCGCCCGGTGACGGGAACCCGGCCAGCAGCTCCTGAGCGGCCCGGCCTAGCCCCAGGGCGAGCACCGAGCCGCGGGCCGGACCGCGACCGCGTACGCCTCGGACTGCCGCACCCCTCACGCCCACGGACTGCGGTGCCGCCGGCCCGCGCACAGGCTTGGAGGACCCGCCCCTCCCGGCTGCGGAGGGAGGGAGGGAGGGAGGGAGCCCGGCCTCCCCAGGGCCGGGCTAGGCCGGGCTAGGCCGGTGCCGCCCGGGGCGTCTGGCTCCCTTCCTGTTTGTCTCTGACCTCACCCTCTACGTGTTGACGGCAGAAAGGTTTTTATAATTTTAAATTATTACTGCTTTGAAATAAATGGACGTTTGAGCTCACTCGCGGCCCTGCATGATCTGTGGAGAGACAGGGTGGAGTTGCTCGGCTGGGGTCCCAACCATGTGGACAGGCCGTTGCGCCCCACTCCAAGCTCGGGGGCCCGGGACCACCAGGATGACCAGCAAAACAAGGACGAAACTGCTCTGACAGACGTTTTTTAAAGGAGAAAATATGTGTATCTTGAAAGCTATTTAAAAATACATCTACTTAGAAAGAAAAGCAGGTGGTCGGCGTGTTACTTGTGTGCGTCGGGGGGCGCAGCCCCGGGCCGGGGAGGTGAGCCGGCCGAGCCCCCGCAGCTGGCGTGTCATCCACAGGCTGTCCCCCATCAGGGTCACACGGCTGCCTTGGCCGGTGAGTGTCCAGCCTGCGTCCTGGGAAGTGCCCCCCATATTGGTCTTCCGTCTCCGAAGTGGAAGGTGGCTGCTGGGAGGGGTGGGAGCCTCCCCTGCACCCTCTTGGCTCCACCCCTGCAACTCGGAGGAAGATCAACCCCCAGGAGGCTGATCACGCCCCACCCCGACCCCAGCCTGTACACCCTGCCGGATCTGAGGGGCTCTGAGGACACCGTGTTCGCGTCTCCAAGGGCAGCTGTGACAACTCACCAAAACTTGGTGACTTAAAACAACACGCTTATCATCTCAGTCCTGGGGTCACAATTTGCATCTTAGGGGCTAAATCCAGGTGTGGGCAGGGCTGGTTCCTCCAGAGGCTCCAGGGCAGCATCGGTTCCCGCCTTTTCCAGCTTCTAGAGGTGCCGCATCCCTGGCTCGCGGCCCCTCCTGCATCCTCACAGCCAGCAGCGCAGCATCTCCCGTCTCTCTCTGCCCCTGACCCTCCCGCCTCCCTCTTATAAGGACCCTGGGATGATGCTGGGCCCCTCGGGGAATCCAGGGTCGTCCCCGTCTCAGGGGCCTTAACTTAATCCCACCTGTGAAGTCCCCTCTGCCACGTGCTCGGCCCAGGACCAGGCCCTGCCAGTCTGTGGCGGGGGGGGGG